GCTGTCCCTATGATTTGACGCAGTGATATGTGGTATATGCTGTCCCTATGATTTGACGCAGTGATATGTGGTCTATGCTGTCCCTATGATTTGACGCAGTGATATGTGGTAATGCTGTTCCTATGATTTGACGCAGTGATATTATGTGAAGAATATTTTGCCTTTTTGAGTTAACAGTGTAGTATATTATTCCCTTTAGAGTGTGTACTTCGGAGTTAATAAAGTGGTTTAAGTTGTATATGTGATGTTGATGCTGTTACATATTTTGCCCTTGAGAGTTGACACTGTGATATTTCGGCCTGGAGAGTTGATGCTGTAATAGTTTACCTTTGAGAGTTTACAATGTGATTTAATTTACCCTTGGAAGTTGACGCTGTGATTAAATTTGCCTTTGAGAGTTGACGCTGTGATTAAATCTGTCTTTGAGAGTTGACGCTGTGATTAAATTTGACCTTGAGAGTTGACGCTGTGATTAAATATGCCTATGAGAGTTGACGCTGTGATATTTCGCCCTTGAGAGCTGACGCCGTAATATTTCGCCCTTGAGAGTTGACGCCGTGATATTATTCGCCCATGCGATCATTGATGCTGGGATTTATTTTTTCACCACTTTTACTTAACATAAACCTCGCTGTCATTGACGTTCATACCTACCATATATTATTCTCATGTTTGGATTGTTTAGGATTTTTAAGTAGTGGGTACTTAAAGAGCTAGTGTCGTTCGAAATAGCTCAATGTACCCTATAACTCTTTAACAATGAACATACAAGCTACGAGTTCGTTTGTGTAATATAAGATTTTATAAGAACCAATGGTCCGACTATGTGATACCCACTTAACAGGTATACGTTTATATGACAAACATGTATTCGATCAGAGTGTATTGTTTCCTTATTGTATTACATTGAAATCCCAATAGAAAATCCGTATGCAGTACATTGGTGAGAATATCATAAAAGAAAATCAAGATACTTAAGGAAACTGTGTTGTGTTATTTATATAAAACTATTAAAGATAATAAACCCATGAATATCTGAGAAAAGATAAATAACGAGCTGCAAGTTTAAAAGATTACTTTTAGAAAATGTTTGATGTCAGGAGAACATGGGAATTTTGAAGGAGGTCAAATTGATAATATTTATTGCCCTTTAACGATATTTACTTGTATACAGCAGGGACGCGATAGAGCTGCACTGGCTGATACAAACTAAGAAACACATTCACTACTTCAAGTGAAGTGCAAAACTATCATAAATCTACTTACAGACATTTACAACGTTATTGGCATTGATGACTCGATAGCCTTTAGATAGCGCTGCATCACGTATTACATCATACTCGTAAAAGTGTCTATCCAAACACATGTGCATCATCAAAATTCATATTAAATTGCAAATGACGTCATTTAAAAATTGAAAGACATTAAGCACAGCTAGTTTTAAAATTATGATGGTTTAATTTCATATCTTTCCTAAGAAAACCGAATATATCCCTATCTATGTGTACAATTGATAAATATGTCTGGTGGATTTGTTTTTGGAAAATTATATGTTTAAAAAATTCCTTAACGCAAATTTTCAAAATGAAATTTGAGATAAAAAAAAAATCTACAAAGGTTTGTTTAAATTTTGTTCCCGATTACTGTCGAATATGACGGGTACAGTAAAGAACCCAAGCTGTTAAAGGACAATTGTCGCATAGCTTATCAACTGTATCTCCACAATTTTCAAATATTTGGGTCAAGAGGATCAAAGTATACTCATCTTAATGAATTGTTAATTAATAATTTCAAAAAGTGATTTAGATCATGATATCATTAAACAGAAACAAAATGCTTATGGTTTTAGCTTCAGACACATTTTGGAGCTGATTTAATGCAATAAGTTGATTCCTTTAACTTATGTTAAGGATAAGATAGATCAAAGGTTTGTATGATGTTATAGATAATCTAATCTGGATTACATGTGTCTTATATTCATGTTTAAGATATAAAGTGGTAGACTCAGCTGGTGGATGATCTAGTGATCGAAGTTTGTCGTGAGCTTGACACACAGTCACAAACATATCATTTGAGGGATAGAGCGGTGCATAATAAACACACTTAACCCATCACTAATTCAAGATTTACCAGAACCCTTATTTTTTTATATTCATAACATGGAGGTATTACGTACCGACCCTTCTGTTTCGACATTTTCAGTTAAGACCTATTCTAATTTTGAACTTTTCTTGTCCAAAGCAT